CCGCACCTTTGGGGGGGGGTAGGGGGTAGTGTCACGCCCTGACCTTTAATGCCTGCTGTTTATTGTTAGTTTGGTCAGGGTGTGAATGTTGATAGTTTCTAGAATGTGTATTTCTATGTTGGCCGGGTGTGGTTCCCAATCAGAGGCAGCTGTCGATCGATGTCTCTGATTGGGGATCATACTTAGCCAGCCATGTTGCCTACCTGTGTTGTGGGATCTTGTTTCTGTGTGTTTTGGCTTGTTTGATGTTAGCCTTTAGAACTTCACGTTACGTTGCTTTTGTTCTGTGTTTATTTAATAAACGAACATGTACGCATACCACGCTGCACCTTGGTCCAATCCTGTATTCAACGAACGTGACAATCGTTGACTAAACATGACAATTAAATCCATTTTAATCCCACTTTGTAACACAACAAAATGTGGAAAAAATTAAGGGGTGTGAATACTTTCTGAAGGCACTGTAAGTAAGTAAAGATTGTAGTTATTGTTGTAGTAGCATCTCTCTAGTAATATCATTATGTCGATAATGGTTAGAACCGAACTGAAATGACACTAACAATAGTTGGTCTTGATATTTTGTTTTCCTTCAGACTTCCTGTCTTGTGTGAGGTCCCAAGTACGACCTGTGACTCTCTGGGCCAGACAGCCAGTAGGGACATCCTGGACCGTCTGAAGCTATTCTGAAATGGAACTGAGGACCCTCGGATACATGCTTAGAAATAGAACTGAGGACCCTCGGATACATGCTTAGAAATATAACTGAGGACCCTCGGATACATGCTTAGAAATAGAACTGAGGACCCTCGGGTACATGCTTAGAAATTGAACTGAGGACCCTCGGGTACATGCTTAGAAATAGAACAGGGAGAGCATCATTGATATGATGTCATCAACTCTACTTTGTGTTTCAAGACTAAACAATGTTTTCCAGTCAGGGATCTGCTGCACTGGCGTCTAATATCCAGACGATGAGCACCATAGCAACCATGGGGAACACCAGCAATGGCCTGTCGACCACCCAGATCTCCTCGGTCTCTTCCTCAGTGCTTGTGTCGTCCCTGTCAACGCTCGGCTCTGTGAGTGGCTGTAACCAGGCCAAGGCCAGTGCAGTTATCACTACCGGAGGCTTCCAGGTGAGGGCACCATCTCCTTCATACTCATAGAATCATAGTCTGTCTCAGCCTGTTATTTTGACTCTGAGTTCTGCTGCATTGTTTGGATGGATCAACGTCTGTTTGATAACAAAATATAAAAAGTCTCCCTGTGTCTCAATGGGACTTTCCTGGTTAAATATTGATAAGCACACTTACAGTGGCTTGCGAAAGTATTCACCCCCCTTTGCATTTTTCCTATTTTGTTGCCTTACAACCTGGAATTAAAATGCATTTTTTGGGGGGTTTGTATCATTTGATTTACACAACATGCCTACCACTTTGAAGATGCAAAATATTTTTTCTTGTGGAACAAACAAGAAATAAGACAAAAAAACGGAACTTGAACGTGCATAACTATTCACACCCCCAAAGTCAATACTTTGTAGAGCCACTTTTTGCAGCAATTACAGCTGCAAGTCTCTTGGGGTATGTCTCTATAAACTTGGCACATCTAGCCACTGGGATTTTTGCCCATTCTTCAAGGCAAATCTGCTCAAGCTCCTTCAAGTTGGTGTACGGTAATCTTTAAGTCATACCACAGATTCTCAATTGGATTGAGGTCTGGGCTTTGACTAGGCCATTCATTTTAAATTTTTTAAATTTTAGTCATTTAGCAGATGCTCTTATCCAGAGCGACTTACAGTTAGTGAGTGCATACATTTTTCATACATTCCAAGACATTTAAATGTTTCCCCTTAAACCACTCAAGTGTTGCTTTAGCAGTATGCTTAGGGTCATTGTCCTGCTGGAAGGTGAACCTATGTCCCAGTCTCAAATCTCTGGAAAACTGAAACAGGTTTCCCTCAAGAATGTCCCTGTATTTAGCGCCATCCATCATTCCTTCAACTCTGACCAGTTTCCCAGTCCCTACTGATGAAAAACATCCCCACAGCATGATGCTGCCATCACCTTGCTTCACTGTGTTCTCAGGGTGATGAGAGGTGTTGGGTTTGCGCCAGACATAGCGTTTTCCTTGATGGCCAAAAAGCTCAATTTTTGTCTCATCTGACCAGAGTACCTTCTTCTATATATTTGGGGAGTCTCCCACATGCCTTTTTGCGAACACCAAACATGTTTTTTTTTTCTTTCTTTAAGCAATGGCTTTTTTCTGGCCACTCTTCCGTAAAGCCCAGCTCTGTGGAGTGTACGGCTTAAAGTGGTCCTATGGACAGATACTCCAATCTCCGCTGTGGAGCTTTGCAGCTCCTTCAGGGTTATCTTTGGTCTCTTTGTTGCCTCTGATTAATGCCCTCCTTGCCTGGTCCGTGAGTTTTGTGGGCGGCCATCTCTTGGCAGGTTTGTTGTGGTGCCATTTTCTTTCCAATTTTTAATAATATATTTAATGGTGCTCCATGGGATGTTCATAGTTTCAGATATTTATAACCCAACCCTGATCTGTACTTTTCCACAACTTTGTCCCTGACCTGTTTGGAGAGCTCCTTGGTCTTCATGGTGCCCCTTGCTTAGTGGTGTTGCAGACTCTGGGGCCTTTCAGAACAGGTGTATATATACTGAGATCATGTGACGCTTAGATTGCACACAGGTGGACTTTATTTAACTAATTATGTGACTTCTGAAGGTAATTGGTTAAACCAGATCTTATTTAGGGGCTTCATAGCAAAGGGGGTGAATACGTATGCACTCACCATTTTTCCGTTATTTATTTTTCAGCATTATTTGAAACAAGTAATTTTTTTCATTTCACTTCACCAATTTTGACTATTTTGTGTATGTCAATTACATGAAATCCAAATAAAAATCCATTTGAATTACAGGTTGTAATGCAACAAAATAGGAAAAACGCCAAGGGGGATGAATACTTTTGCAAGGCACTGTAAATGAGCCTATAATCACACTTGAATGAGCCTGATCAGATTACTATTTGATTGACAGATAAACACTGCCTCCTCCCCGATCTCATTGGGCACTCTCCTTGGGGGTCTTCAGTCAGCGACGATAACGAACATATCAGCCACTGAGCTGTTGACAGCATCCCAGAGCTCTGTTTGTCACCAACATGCTCCCGACTGGCTGTATCACAGTGCCCTATTGGCTAAGGCACTGCATCTCAGTGCTAGAGGCGTCACTACAGACCCCCTGGTTCGATCCCGTGCTGGCCGTGATAGGGAGTCCCATAGGGCGGCGCACAATTGGCCCAGCGTCGTCCGGGGTAGGGTTTGGCCGGGGTAGGCCGTCATTGTAAATAAGAATTTAACTGACTTGCCTAGTTAAATAAAAAAAATGCTGGCTGCCCCACAGATTGTACGGGAAACCTACGTCAGCAAGGTACCAGGTGGATCTGAGGATATTGTATTGGCTACAGTTACTACAGCTCTGTAGTTGTATTGGCTACAGTTACAGTTTTGTGGGTCACACTGATATATTTAAATTTTAGTCATTTAGCAGACGCATACATTATTTTATTTTTTTATACTGGAATCGAACCCACAACCCTGGCGTTGCAAATGCCATGCTCTACCAACTGAGCTACATCCCTGCCGGCCATTCCCTCCCCTACCCTGGACGAATTGTGCGCCGCCCCATGGGTCTCCCGGTCGCGGCCGGCTACGACAAAGCCTGGATTTGAACCAGGATCTCTAGTGGCACAGCTAGCACTGCGATACAGTGCCTTAGACCACTGCGCCACTCAGCAGCCACTCCTAAATTCTACAACATGATGAAGGGACACATTCTTTGTTATAACAAAACAGTTGTCTTTCCGTTGTTTTCCATTCTCATTCCCTATTAGATAATCACCATCAACCAAAGCCCCAACGCGTTGTTTGTGAAAGTACCTGATGCCTTACTGATCCTTAGGGCCATCTGATCATCTCTCAGACGATCAACAGAACGACATGGAAGCAAGAGCAGGTTATGGTCTTGACATCACTTATGAACATTTTAGGAATTTTCAAAAAAAAATAGTTAAACAGAGTTACATTCCGTTACTTTATTGTCCTGCTAGGAGGTAATAATGGTCACTGTCTAGTGCAACTTCTGAATCTATGAAATGCACTCTACAAATGTAAATATTATTAACTGTCATTACCAAGACGCTTGCCTTGTTTTTGTGTTCTAGGCTGTTGGATTCGTAGCAAAGCAATGCGAGCATCAACTCGGAGGAGTACGTTATGAATTGGCCTCTAAGTTTAACATTTAACATTTCAGTGAGTTGTACTTTTTTTAATTCTCTCTCTCCCTTTACTATTCCATGTTTTTTCTCTCTCTTGTGCTATCCTCTTACGAACAGGCTCTCTACGTCCGTGTTGCAAGGGTTCACGTGTACATCAGTGCAGTCCATGATGGTCAACAAGGTTCGCAGGCTGGTTCATGCCTGCAGACTGAGGATCCCTAGGGAGTAAGTGGTGCTGAAAGAAACACAGGTCCGTGAGACAGGAAGTCAGAGCAGTGATGATGATGATGATAGCTAATAGATCTCACACATGATTGACTAATTTTTCCACAGTTGACCTGCATGTACAGTTTACTGAAAGACAACCTCTCCCAGAACTTTACAGACTATCCCTCAGACACTCTATAGTAAATATCATCCTGTTCATTATCTCCCCCTGTCCGTTATCTCCTCCTGTTTGCTATCTCCTCCTGTTTGCTATCTCCTCCTGTTAGCTATCTCCTCCTGTTTGCTATCTCCTCCTGTTTGCTATCTCCTCCTGTTTGCTATCTCCTCCTGTTTGCTATCTCATGCTTGCATAATGGTAGGTGTCTATGTTTGTGTGTGCATATAACTTCTCTTTCTCACCATCAAAAAAATGCACCACTGGCAACATCACCCAGTCGACCATCGCAGAAGCCTAGTTCCCCTTTGGCTATGACGTGACCCAGTTTGACCTCTGCCTGGATACCAGCGTTTTTAGACAATCTTGATGCGGTCACTGAAAAAGTGGATGATGACGACTTCCAGAAGATGATTTCAGTTAAACTAATCCAGCTAATAATTATATCAATATGGCCGTCTGAAGTTTGCCTCTTTGACTCTCAGAAACAGAATGGAAACTATGACTATGGCCATGCATAATGTGAAGGGATAGGTATGCCAATGTTTCTACTCTAGGAAGACCAGTCCAGTTTTTTTTAACTGACTCCTTGATTCATTAGTTAAAATGGCTTATCGATCAGGCATTGTTGACTAGCAGCTCCAGGTGCTGGGGCCCATGTCTCGTGTGGCCACTTGATGACATCACAAAGTGGAGAGTCACCAAAATCAATACACTGTCAGCACTGATGGACTCCAACGATGGACTCATAGGAATCAGCAAAAGTATATTTGGGGAAGAGACATTTGTACTTTGTGCAGGTCTCTCTCTGTTGATGCATTTAGAGCAAGGCAATCATCACAAAATACTTGGACATGTAGAGGTAACTCCTTGGGACGCTTTGAGTTAAATGCCATTAGCTCTAGTCGGTGTTATCTGGACGTGAGCGTACTGAAGACATTACATCAGACAGCCTAAAGTGAGAATATCTGATCTGCTTAGGAAAAAACTGCTAGTGATTTATTTCACAGTTCAGTTTACCAAGTCATGGATAACAATGAGGCAATATGTCAGCTAAACTGTAGTCCTGGATAGCAATGAGACAATATGTCAGCTAAACTGTAGTCCTGGATAGCAATGAGACAATATGTCAGCTAAACTGTAGTCCTGGATAACAATGAGACAATATGTCAGCTAAACTGTAGTCCTGGATAACAATGAGACAATATGTCAGCTAAACCCAGTGAGACAATGAACAATATGTCAGCTAAACTTGCCTATAGGCTGACAATGACAATATGTCAGCTAATCTACCTGGGTCGAAATGAGAATATGTCAGCTAACTGTAGTCGTACATGAGAAAATGTGCAACGTAGTCCTGGATAAATGAGACAATATGTCGCAAACTGTAGTCCGGAAGAATGAGACATATGTCAGCACAAACTAGTCCTGGATGCAATAACAATAGTCAGCTAAACTCTAGTCCGATGACAATGAGACAATATTCAGCTAAACTCAAGTCCGTACCATGTCCTGGATGACAATGAGACAATATGTCAGCTAAACTCTAGTCCTGGATAACAGTGAGACAATATGTCAGCTAAACTCTAGTCCTGGATAACAATGAGACAATATGTCAGCTAAACAGTAAACCTATATACACTGTATGATCATAGAAATGCCAATAGCTAATTGACAAACATATATCCCTGTCAACTAAATTATGTACGTTTCTCATTTATCTTCTTAGAAATGCCGATTCCCTGGATGTGCCCTCTTGCACCACTGAGCAGAAGAGTTCTCTATATGACATCACCAAGACTGCCTTTAGCTCACAGCGTACCACTAATACAACAACATATTCCCAACTCATCAGTCCCTACCTGGGTACAACACAAACACTACGGAAGGGTATTAGGGACAAGTGAAGAGAAATTAAACAGTGATGGGGTGGTGGTTCTTGGATTTTTATTTTGCATGAACAGTACTTTAAAAACTTGGAATACTTTGTGTGAATAAAGTTGAAATTTCCAGAATAAAGTTGAAATACCTTTTCGGGAATGAAGTCAATGTTTTGAATAAAGTGACAATATTTTGAGAAAAAACTAACATTTTATTTTTGAGAATAAAGTCACATTTTGGGAATAAAAGTCGCAGTTATAGATTAAGGTACGGGATTTGGATCCCTGTTGCTTTGCACGCCCCCTGTTGAAATGCCTGAGTTAGATAACTGGTGAAACTATACTTTAGAATTGGCTTTAGTAACAAGAAAACTATTGCTCTATTATCACATGATAACCATATTATAAGTATTAGGTCCTGAAAGAGGTTGTGCCACAGATTGGGTCTTTTCAGAAGGAGGAACCACACTGTGTGGTTACATACAAGACATACAGTAGGTAGAGACGGGTGGATTGTATGTGTATGGAGGTTAGTGTGTGTGTGTGTGTGTGTGTGTGTGTGTGTGTGTGTGTGTGGGCGATAAAAGGTAGAGGGAAACAAATGTCCATCAATCTAATGATCTAATACATTTGTTCAAACAGGCGTCACTGCGCACTCACGCTTATCAATCTAATGATCTAATGACTCGCACGCACACAAAATATTTTCCCTGGCAATTTCAAACCAGTCCTACACTCTTCTAATTGCCATGTTAAGCACAAACAATTCTTGGCACTGTCACTGACTGCGAAGAGACCTGGCGTTGAGTCCCTGTCAGTCTGCCCTTCTGAATTGGCTACAACGTTCTGCTGTGTAGCCTAAGCGAACACCTTGGAAATAATCTGTGTATAAGGCAACTATCTTTCTAGTAAACTACATGGGCACACCAAATGAAGCGAATTATCTTGGGATCCTGTAGACGGGGGGCTGTGTGTATCCCGTGTCAAGCTACTATAACACTAGATTACAGCCCATTATGAACCTACAGTGGCCCACTAGATTACAGCCCATTATGAACCTACAGTGGCCCACTAGATTACAGCCCATTATGAACCTACAGTGGCCCACTAGATTACAGCCCATTATGAACCTACATTGGTAGACTAGATTACAGCCCATTATGAACCTACAGTGGCCCACTAGATTACAGCCCATTATGAACCTACAGTGGTAGACTAGATTACAGCCCATTATGAACCTACAGTGGTAGACTAGATTACAGCCCATTATGAACCTACAGTGGCCCACTAGATTACAGCCCATTATGAACCTACAGTGGCCCACTAGATTACAGCCCATTATGAACCTACAGTGGCCCACTAGATTACAGCCCATTATGAACCTACAGTGGCCCACTCGATTACAGCCCATTATGAACCTACAGTGGCCCACTCGATTACAGCCCATTATGAACCTACAGTGGCCCACTCGATTACAGCCCTTATGAACCTACAGTGGCCCACTAGATTACAGCCCATTATGAACCTACAGTGGCCCACTAGATTACAGCCCATTATGAACCTACAGTGGCCCACTAGATTACAGCCCATTATGAACCTACAGTGGCCCACTAGATTACAGCCCATTATGAACCTACAGTGGCCCACTAGATTACAGCCCATTATGAACCTACAGTGGCCCACTAGATTACAGCCCATTATGAACCTACAGTGGCCCACTAGATTACAGCCCATTATGAACCTACAGTGGCCCACTAGATTACAGCCCATTATGAACCTACAGTGGCCCACTAGATTACAGCCCATTATGAACCTACAGTGGCCCACTCGATTACAGCCCATTATGAACCTACAGTGGCCCACTCGATTACAGCCCATTATGAACCTACAGTGGCCCACTCGATTACAGCCCATTATGAACCTACAGTGGCCCACTAGATTACAGCCCATTATGAACCTACAGTGGCCCACTAGATTACAGCCCATTATGAACCTACAGTGGCCCACTAGATTACAGCCCATTATGAACCTACAGTGGCCCACTAGATTACAGCCCATTATGAACCTACAGTGGCCCACTCGATTACAGCCCATTATGAACCTACAGTGGCCCACTAGATTACAGCCCATTATGAACCTACAGTGGCCCACTAGATTACAGCCCATTATGAACCTACAGTGGCCCACTAGATTACAGCCCATTATGAACCTACAGTGGCCCACTAGATTACAGCCCATTATGAACCTACAGTGGCCCACTAGATTACAGCCCATTATGAACCTACAGTGGCCCACTAGATTACAGCCCATTATGAACCTACAGTGGTAGACTAGATTACAGCCCATTATGAACCTACAGTGGTAGACTAGATTACAGCCCATTATGAACCTACAGTGGCCCACTAGATTACAGCCCATTATGAACCTACAGTGGCCCACTAGATTACAGCCCATTATGAACCTACAGTGGCCCACTAGATTACAGCCCATTATGAACCTACAGTGGCCCACTAGATTACAGCCCATTATGAACCTACAGTGGTAGACTAGATTACAGCCCATTATGAACCTACAGTGGCCCACTAGATTACAGGCCATTATGAACCTACAGTGGTAGACTAGATTACAGTCCATTATGAACCTACAGTGGCCCACTAGATTACAGCCCATTATGAACCTACAGTGGCCCACTAGATTACAGCCCATTATGAACCTACAGTGGCCCACTAGATTACAGGCCATTATGAACCTACTGTGGTAGACTAGATTACAGTCCATTATGAACCTACAGTGGCCCACTAGATTACAGCCCATTATGAACCTACAGTGGTAGACTAGATTACAGCCCATTATGAACCTACAGTGGTAGACTAGATTACAGCCCATTATGAACCTACAGTGGTAGACTAGATTACAGCCCATTATGAACCTACAGTGGTAGACTAGATTACAGCCCATTATGAACCTACAGTGGTAGACTAGATTAAAGCCCATTATGAACCTACAGTGGTAGACTAGATTACAGCCCATTATGAACCTACAGTGGTAGACTAGATTACAGCCCATTATGAACCTACAGTGGTAGACTAGATTACAGCCCATTATGAACCTACAGTGGCCCACTAGATTACAGCCCATTATGAACCTACAGTGGTAGACTAGATTACAGCCCATTATTAACCTACAGTGGTAGACTAGATTACAGCCCATTATGAACCTACAGTGGCCCACTAGATTACAGCCCATTATGAACCTACAGTGGTAGACTAGATTACAGCCCATTATGAACCTACAGTGGTAGACTAGATTACAGCCCATTATGAACCTACAGTGGTAGACTAGATTACAGCCCATTATGAACCTACAGTGGTAGACTAGATTACAGCCCATTATGAACCTACAGTGGTAGACTAGATTACAGCCCATTATGAACCTACAGTGGTAGACTGGATTACAGCCCATTATGAACCTACAGTGGTAGACTAGATTACAGCCCATTATGAACCTACAGTGGTAGACTAGATTACAGCCCATTATGAACCTACAGTGGTAGACTAGATTACAGCCCATTATGAACCTACAGTGGTAGACTAGATTACAGCCCATTATGGACCTACAGTGGCCCACTAGATTACAGCCCATTATGAACCTACAGTGGTAGACTAGATTGAGTACCCTAACCGGTAGGCTAATCGTACATTACAGTGGGCAAGTGAAAGTAAATTATAGGCCTATCCAACGGCCAGGGTTGGGTAGGTTACTTTTTAAATGTAATCCGTTACAGTTACTAGTTATCTGTCTAAAATTGTAATCAGTAACGTAACTTTTGGATTACCTAAACTCGGTAACGTAATCGGATTACTTTCATTTACTTTTGGATTACATCACCCGTAAAATACATAAGAAGATAAAAAAAAAAAAAGATAATTACCCATTTAACAACATTTATTGCAGGATGTTTGAGCCACTAAGCAGAGCCACATTAGAACACGACACAAAACATTGT